AATGAGATGTATTCTTCATCCTACCCTGTTTGGGGAAAATCTACTTGATTAAGAAGTCTACCTTTCGTTTTTTGGTTGCAGCAAAAGTGTCCATTATTCTGTTGACGAAGTTGGGGATACTTTCAATGATGTCCTTGTGGATGGACATAAATGTAAGAGCATTCAGTCTCTCTTGTCCCTTTGTAGAACGGGAGAATGTCTTTATTCGTTTCAGTGTACTGAAACTTCGTTCAGCCTCGACAGACGTTGATGGTGTCGTCAGTGCGATCTCAAGGATTTTGCATACTTCTCTAAATGTTGTGTCGAGTTTGTAGTCCTTCAGTGTTGAATAAAGGCCCTAAATTGTACGACACTGAGCAGACTTAAAGGTTTCATTGCAATATAACATTTCTAATTCTGCTTGCAGCTTGATTTTGTGTAAACCAGAGTAGCATTCTGCTATTCGATCCAAAAGAACTGTAGGAAACGACTTTTGATAGTCCTGGAATTTGGAGGGGTCGACGATTGATAGTGTATTGATCTCATTTTGCTCTGAGAAACTGTCAACAATTTAAATAACTATTATGATAATAATAGTAGATAGCATTTGTATAGCGCATATCCCCGCTCTGCAGCAGGCTCTGTACGCTTTACACTATATTGTCACATGCCTATAACTATTGTCACATGCCTTTGCAGCACTTTCGTTTGTGTAGTGACGTTTGCATCTCATAGAAGCGCGTTCCTCAGTGGTCTGACTTGTTGGTGGAACACTTATACTGTTTCTGATTTCCTGAATGGCAGCTTTAAACGTGTCTAAAGCTTGTCGGGCTGCTATATAATATGCGTTTACTTCTGTGTTGGAGGATCCCACACACAGCGTCAACGTGCGTGAACACTTCGGTGAAAAAGTGTAAAAAGAAGATAAATAATATATCGCTCTTTAATGCATTCAAGAGATCACAGGCTTCGTGGGTGGTGTTACCGTCCCAGTGCTTAATAATAATAATAATCGATAGCATTTTTATAGCGCATATCCCCGCTCAACAGCAGGCTCTATGCGCTTTACACTATATTATTACCCCAGCAGACCATAGAACACTCCGAAACATTCTCAGCTTCCCGGGAAGCATACAGTGCAAGCAGCCGATTCAGCGCTCAAACACTAACAAACTGACAAGATCTTTCGCTGTCTATAGCCGGGTACTCATTCCCACCTGGGTGAAGTGAGGAAAATTCGTGTAAAGTGCCTTTCCCAAGGACACAACGTCGGGTCCCTGACGGGATTCGAACCCACGACCTTACGGTTGCGAGTCCGAGAGCCTAACCACTAGGCCACCAACGCCACAGACTGAATTTTTTTCAAGACAGAGCTGGAGCACTCCTTTCCAAGCGAAGATTGTGTTAATGAGTCGAGACTGAAGATTCCACCTTGTCTCAGACGGCCAAGGAATATTCCGGTGACAAACGCGTCTGAAAAAAAATAATGGTGAAATGGTATAGGTTTAACGCTCCGATCAACACTATTAGGTTATTTAAGGGGCGGGACCTCCTAGTTTAACGTCCGTCTCCGATAGAACCGAAACGCGCCTGAGAACGTCAATGTGTTTTGTAGAGTGGGCAAAAAATGTCAGAGAGCCTGCAGCGTTACCAAAAAATATCCTGCAGTTTGATACGGCGGAACATGCCTGCTTTAAAATAAGATTCAGCTGATGCGAATAGCAATGAACGAAGACAACGTTAGGGAAAAATTGGCGTATCTGAGTCTGTACACCAGAGACTCTCCCGCTCATTACAGCTGCCCCATCGTATGTTTGGGTGATCAGCTTCTCCTCGACGCTGAATGGTTCTAAAGCTTCTTTAAGAGTTGAAACGAGTCCTGAGGAAGTTCTGTCTTTGACTTTAAAAAAACTTTAGAAACCGCTCTACCGGTTTTCCGTCCTTAGTATACCTCAGAATGATTACAAACGGTGAAAAATTACCTGGATCAGTTGCTTCGTCAGCCTGAACAGAAAGACAGTTGGCAGGGCGTATGTCTTTAAGAAAGTTCTTCGTGGTATATTTTGAAGATACAGTCAAGCAGTTCGTTTTGTATTATTTTGGAAGTATATTTTGCAACTGTAGTGCTTTGCAGATGATCAAACGGTATCCTGTCAACACTAGCGTCTTTGAGCAATTAATTAAGAAAGATACCCCTGTTCCCCGACAAATCACCTTCTTCGTGACCGCGAAGGGCGAGCTCGTGAGTTCCACAGAATAAAATACACTCGATAACCTTACACAATACGTGCCTGTTCTTTCTCATCCGTTCGTTGAAGTGAGACGTTGCAATGCGACGACCAACGTCAAGCTGCGCTGCTATGTCTACTACTCCGAAAGTGTGATACTTAACGGCGTTGTTGACGTGCACTTTTGATGACTCGTGTTTTCTTATGCTTTGTCTCACATGGACAAGATCAGTTAAACCTGTCTTAGACCACTTGGCGTCCTCAGTTCCAAAACGCTGACAGTAAACCATTCCACTGTTTCGAAAAGATCCGTATTGAAAACACGATCGCACCTTTTTGCTGCTTGTATTACTTTGATATCTTTTGATTGATGAGGACCTAATTCTTACACTCTTCTTTTCACTGTGGGTTAGAGAGCTGAATTTATATATTAGTAAAAAAAATTAACCGCATTCATCGTGCACTGGAATCACACAGTCAAGTAATAACACTTTCACATCAACACCACTCCAAGTAAGGGTAGAACCACATTAACGCCCGACACCGCCAGTCAGACCAGACCCGCCGTTTTTCGTCGAGTGCGGCTGACCATATTAACACCAGAGTTTGGCGATCAGACACCACCGTCTTGCAAATATGGCGTGTGGTAGAAGAAGAAAATTATTGCTGTTGTTGATTTTGAGACGCAGACAAAAAAGGAAAACCAAGACAAGAAGAGTTTCGGTTCATCCCATCCAAAGAAAGCGTGATACACTGGGTGAATTTCTTCATTTGTTCCCGCAGTTGTTGGAAGATAGTAAAACATTCCAACTATACTATCGGATGAAACATAGCAGTTTCAATGAACTGCGAGAGATATGCAGAGCTGACAAGAACTGCTAGAATTTTATGTAGTGTCAGTGAGGCGGGAAAGAGGACACAACTATGCAGAGATAAAATCATTATAATTACCTCCCATCTCGCCCAAAGGACCGTCTTCGATAGAACATGTTTTATCGGAGACGATCTGACCTGGGACGGGACGACACAGGACGTCGGGCGTCAGTATGGTAGCCGAAACCGTTTTTTGTTACTGTTATGTTACGACTTACTTGAGTCTTGGAGTAGTAGATCTAGATGATAGTTGATGCTGGTGGGGCCCCACTTGCTGGTGTCTGCTACTTCTTCGTTAGCCGATGTTACTCGCTTCGGCTTCAGTGAGAGAGTGACCTTCAGATTTCTCGCCGCTTGCACGAAATCACAGTCACGTGCTACGTCCCTTAGGCCTACGTCACAATAGTTATTAAGGTGTGTTCACACTACATGTCCTTCCATACCTACGGTGCGTTTACACCACATCTCCCCCTCTTTATATGAGGAAATAACTTGAAAGGGCCAAAGCCTCAAATAACAAAATCAACTCTTAGGGCGACAACAATAACAAATTAGTTTTCCTCCCAGGAACAAAACACTATATACATCATCTGATATTTACACCAGGAAGAGAGAGTACTATAAATCCAGTACCTCTCTCGGATTGACCAGTCTTCCACTTCTAGTGACAAATGGCTTTGTCTCCGTCTCATAGGAAAGGCTACTTGCAGGATCAATTTGAATTATCCCTGGCTCAGTTTGAGGTTGCCCTAACGTTGGTAAATTATTACTATCCCTGGGTATAGTAGGAGGTATAGACATAATATGTTTATCCGATCTTTTTCTAACCTGTTGTCGGTTCCTCCGTGTAACATGTCCAGAAGAAGTTTGGACGTATACAGATCTTGGAATTACTTTTTCTTCCTCCTGCCTCGGAGTCTTAAGCCAAACCGACTGTCCTGGTTTTAACTCTGGTAGATTTTTCACTTTATGCCTTCTATCAAAATTCTCCTTGATTTTTCTTTTTATAATAGCATCTTTCCTCCGGAAGTTCTTATCGTTCTGTCTTTCTTGCAAGGATGGTACTCTAGTTCTTAGTTTCCGGTTCATCAGCAGTTCAGCTGGACTCTGTCCCTGGGCCAAAGGTGTGGCTCTGTAATTTAAAAGGGCCAGAAAAGGGTCCTGTTCTTTCTTGAGCATGTTTTTAATTGTTTGAACTGCTCTCTCTGCTTCTCCATTAGCCGACTGATGATGAGGGCTACGTGTAACATGTTTGAATCCATAATAGAAAGCGAAGTTACAAAACTCTGCTGAAGTACATGTATATTGCGTCCCATTGTCAGTAAGTACTGTCCTGGGAATACCCATTCTTGCAAAGATAGCCTTGAAACTGTTGATAACACTCTTGGAAGTAAGAGAAGTAAGGTGTGAAATCTCAATCCATCTGGAATAATAATCAACCACCAGCAGATAATGTTCTCCCTGCCATTCAAACAGGTCACTTCCTACTTTTTCCCAAGGGTGATCTGGAGTTGGAGTTGATACTAGCGGTTGAGAAGGCAATGCTCTGTGTTTTTCACACTCAGGGCAGTTATTCACTTGGGTTTCAAAATCCTTAGACATCCCAGGCCACCAAATACAGGTGCGTGCTAAAGCCCTACACTTGACTATACCTTGATGCCCCTGGTGGATTCTCTGGAGCATGTTTTGCCTCAGTGAAGATGGAATGACTAACCTGCATCCGTGCAAGAGAATCCCTTGCTCCCCCGCCAAACAATGACGCTCTGTATAGTTTAATTTTAATATTCCATGCGTCCTTTGAGGCCAATGGCCCTGAGTGAAGTGAATCACCTCTCTGCATTCCTTGTCGCTGTGCTGTGCACGTCGAACTTCCTCTAATCTTTCATCTGATATGGGGATCGACTGAAATATTGTACTTACTTCAATTGTTTCCTCTTCTGCTTTATTGTTTTTCAAAAGAGACCTGGATAACGAGTCTGCCGTAACGAGGTCCTTGCCAGCAAAATATTCAATGTCGTAAGTAAATCTCAACATCCTCATCCTGAATCTCTGTATTCTTGGAGTAAGGAGATCCAAGTCTTTTGCTTTCATCAGCGACAGTAATGGTTTGTGATCTGTCTCGATTACAAACTTAGGGAGACCCACTAAATATTATGAAAAATTTTCACAACACCATGTCATACCCAAAGCTTTCTTTTTAAACTGTGCATACCTAGTCTCGGTGTCCGTGAGAGATCTAGATGAGTAGAAAACTGGCTTCCAACCTTCCTGGTCTTTCTGCAGCAGAACTCCTCCAATTCCAAAAGAAGACACATCTGCAGACACTTTTATTGGCTTGTTTGGGTTGTAATGTTGTAGTACTGGTGTAGAACTAAGTTGAACCTTTACTTCTTCAAAAGCTTTCACTGGTTCTGTCCCCCATATCCATTCGCTGTCTTTCTTAAGCAGGTCTCTAAGAGGTTTTGTCACATCTGCCAGCATAGGTGCAAATTACCCGACATGGTTTACCATTCCCAAAAATCTTCTTAGCTCTGGGACATTTTCTGGTGCCTCAAGCCTGGTAATGGCCTCGACTTTCTATGGGTCAATGCTGACACCGTTTGCACTAACAATATGTCCAAGAAATTTCACTTTCTTTGTTGAAAACTCACACTTCTCATTTAATGTAAGTCCAGCTTTGTTCATCCGATCCAAGACCAACTTCAGTCTTTCGTCGTGTTCCTTTTGATCTCTTACTCCTACAAGAACATCATCAATGTCACATATCACACCTGGTATTCCTTCCACGATGTTTGACATTTCTCTATGGAATATTTCAAGACCAGAATTGATCCCAAAGGGCAGTCTTTGGTAACAAAATCTCCCAAAAGGCGTAATAAAAGTAGTTAACTCTTGAGACCTTTCGTCTAGAGGAATTTGGTGAAATGATTTGTTACAATCTAGTTTGCTGAAAACTGTAGCTCCATCAACTGTGCCAATAACTGGTCAGTAGTAGGAAGAGGGTAGTTCTCTCTTTTAACATTTTCATTTAGTTTAGTGTAATCACAACATAGCCTGACTTTTCCTGATGGCTTGAGAACAGCTACTATAGGAGCACACCAATCAGTAGGTTTGGTAACAAGTCTGATGATTCCTTGTTCCTGTAGAGATTTTAGTTCTTCTTCAACTTTATCTTTTAGTGGAAGAGGCAGCCTTCTAGGGCAGGTAAGGTTAAATGGCTTTGCATTGTCTTTCAACTCAAAAGTATATTCATTGCTTGTTTTTCCTAAGCCTTGGAAAAAAACAGCATACTTAAGTTTTGGGTCAAACTTAGCTTCTGACAATCCGTTTACAACTTCCACCACTTTAAGTGCTCCAATGGCAGGTCTGCCTAACAGCGGTTTTCTGAGTCCCTTGATAACGTATAAGCCTTGTTCTGACTTCCAACTGTTCTTTTTCAGGGTTGCTGTGAATACACCGATTACATCTAGTTTTGACCCTCCCGGTCCATAGAGTTTCTTGTCAGTTTGCTTTAGCACTTTTGTGTCTCTAAAATTTTGTCTGAGACTACAGACACATCAGCTCCTGTGTCTATACGAAATGTCATTTTCTGACTGTTGACTAATATCTCTGTGTGCCAGTCATTCACCGAATTTATTTCGTGTATTGAACCCAGGATGGTTCTTGTGGTATTATCATCACAGTCTGATTCTTCTACTCGTCTCACTTCTTTTGTTCTGCATTGTGAAGCATAATGTCCTATCTTTTTGCATTTGTTGCACTCTGCTCTTAATGCTGGACAATCTTGGTTATTTCTATGTGAATCATATCCACACCTTGTGCATTTCCTTTTTGAAGATTGTTGTTTTCCATCCTTTGGATATTGTGACCTCTTACCACTTGAAAACTGTTTCTTTTCTTCTGGAAACAATTTCTTTCTGTCTTTTGACATAACTCTGTCAACTGCCAATTCTTTCATTTCATTTAGCTTGACTTGACTAGCCTCATAGGCTCTTGCTATGTCTACTGCCTTCTTGAGATCTAACTTGGGGTCTTCCAACAACTTTTCTCTCACGTGGTCAGTCTTGCAACCAACTAAAATTCTGTCCCGAATCATGCGATCTTCAAATGCTTCAAAGTTGCACCCTCTGGCCGATTTTCTTAGCTCCGCAACATAGGCATAAATGGATTTCATTCGGTTCTTGTACTCTGACATGAAAGCGGTATGACTCGAATGCCTCATGAGTTGTTCCCATGCAAAATTCCTCAAACTTCTTGAGTACTGCATCGATATCATCCTGTTCCTCTTTGGAACTAAACTTAAATCCATCAAATCTGTCCATCGCATCTTCCCTTATAACTGTCAATAAGACTGCACACCTAAACTGTTTTGACTCTTTGATCAAGTTTGAAGCAATCTCATAATTCTTCCATGCCCTGGAAAACTTTCTCCAGTTTGATTGCAAAGCACTTTCCTCGCTAATATTTAATTTTTGAGGCGGCTGTTTTGAGCATGAAATCTGGACTTTGTCCCTTCCAGGGGGGGGGGGGCGGTGGCGACAGTTTGGGGGGCGCTGACGCGAAATTGGGTGATTGGGGGGGCGGTAGGGGGCATTAAGGGGGCGGTGTGAAATTTTCATGAAATGCAACATAAAAAAAGTGAGGCAGCCTGGTGGAATCAGGCTCTCGTCAATTTATGGGCATGTAGAGTTATTGGTATCATCTTAAAGCTTGTTCACTTGTCTTTATTTGGATGAAAAGAATATAAATTTATCTTGAATACAAGTCGAGATATTTGCGAAAGAAGGAGGTGGGGGTCACTTGTTTTCGGAAGTAAAATTAGTGAGAAAATGGCCGCCAAAGATTAGTTATTTCCTTAGCTTAAGAATCCGTGGTAACTGAAAATTTACATTTTTTGTGCCTTTACTCAACGTTTTTCAGAAAAATTCACACAGAAATGAGTTCTTGAATGGGCATGAAAGGTGTTGAGCCAAAAAAATAATAATTTGATAAAAATCCACAAACCTGCGGGGAAAAAGCAAGTTTCTTCCCTTTAATCATTTTGACGAGAGCCTGATTCCACTACGCTGCCTCGCAAGTGGTAAAAGGAAAGAAGCCACAAAAAACCCCAAAAAACAACAACCCAAAATTGATAGCTTCGGCACAGTTTACAATACTACTTAATACCGTACTAAGAACTTTCTTTCCCAGCACACAAAGTCCATATAAAGAAGATTCATCCCGACAAATCTGACAAAGATCTGGCATACTTCCAAACTTTTAAGATCAATTTTCAGAAAAGAAAATCAGGTAAATGGATGTTTGAGGCCGACGTCGATCAAGCTGATGAAGACTTCCGAGCAACTTATAATTTATCTCTGCTAATTGCAAAGGCAGGAAAGCCACCTCATATTGCCTGCGATAACAGAGGTGGTCAGCACAATCCTGCATTGTTCCCCCGAGCCTGTGTTGAAAGTTCTTGCCACTAAGTAACAATACCGTTCAAAGACGTAACGATGGGATGTCAGCAAATGTTGAGGAATCATCGTGCAAAAGGCTTAAAAGGACGCGAGTTCAGCCTTCAACTGGATATCGGTTCATAGAGGGTGAGGAAACAATGCAAGAATTGTTATTTCCGAAAATGTTGAAAACAAATACCAAAGACAAATCCGTTTTCAATGAGGTCCAAGAATTTTTCAAGGAGAAACAGATCTCTTTGACCAATATAGTTGCCTGTGCAACAAATAGGGCACTGTCGATGACAGGTCGGTACCGTGGATTTATGAGCTTCTTGAAGAAATCGGTCCGCTGTGTCATTCACAGGTAGAATTTGGGGGCAAGAAGCCTGAATTAAAGTCTGCATGACACACTGGCCATTGTCATCAAGTGTGTGAACATGATCAAAGTCCACTCTTTGAACTCGAGATTAATCCAACAGCTGTGCACTGAAAATGACGAGGACTTTCAATGCTTACATTTGCACAGTGAAGTCCGGTGGCTCTCAAAAGGAAACTGTTCAACACGATATTGTTCTGCCTGTTTAACTCTGTGCTGGAGTTTTTTTTTCAAGAAACAGACAGTGATCTCTGCAATAAACTGAAAGAACACAAGAACAACTTTGCGTTCCTCACAGATCTGTTCCAAAGTTCAACCAGTTCTACTTGCAACTGCAGGGGGATGACACCAACCTGATCAAGGCAAAATCCATGCTTTCGTCATTCTTGTCGAAATTGGAAATGTTCCACCGAAACATTGGCAAAAGGGAACTTACTCAGTTTCCTAGCTTTACGGAGACACTGAGTGGAAGAAGGGTGGGTTTCTGACGAGGAGCTAGAAATATATACCAACCACCTCAAAGATTTGCATTCTGATATGAAGACAAGGTTTACTGATAAGTCGTACCAGTCATTTTGGTTAAACAACTATTGTGCAAGACAAATATCCCTCCCTGTGGGAAAAGATCAAGTTGCTGTTCATCGCTTTTCCCGCCTCTAATCCAGTAAAAAGGGGATTCTGTACAATGACAAGGTTGCTAAAAAACAAAGGATCACAGAGCGTGGCGATTTGCGTCTGCTACTGACCAGTCTGAAACCTGATGTTGATAAGTTGGTTTCGTCTCACCAGGTTATCCGTCTTTCCCATAAGGGCAGTGTCAATTACTTATTTTTATATTCATTATGCTTACTCCGTAGTTTACCCTTATTTGATACCCCAATGTGTCTTTTCTTTTTTTGCTTTACTTTCTATTTTTCTACAGCAAAATACTCTGTTGTTTAATAGAGTTTTTTTATGTGCATGTGCTGCCTCTGATAATAAAACTGATGATGAGAATGATGATGATGATGATTACAATGATGGTGATAATTACAGACTAAGATCCTTGAATACTTTTTCTTTCGAGTGGTTTCTCACATTTGAACAACCTAATAATATTTTTATTTTCTACAATGGAGATATCAGAATATATACAATTCTCAGGCCACTTTATTGCAGCACCTTGATGGGAGAAAACGTTTCATAAAGATAATGTCAATCTGTTTTCAAACCAATGATCATTGTTTGTTTGTTTGGTTTTGTTTTTGTTTTTTAGGGGGGGGGGGTGGTGTTTTACTTCTGTAAATGTGATGATACATGTTTTATTTTTACTGATGTTAATAACACTTTTCGTTTAATACCGATGACAACTAGATCTATATGCATAAAATGACCGTATTTTGTTCTCAACGCCCTTGCATAACATTGAAGGAAAAATGTGTTAATTTATCTCTCGTACACGCTTAATTTAAGATTATGTAAGGATGGTGACTTGTGACCCAACTAAATTCTGAACCAAATCATTAGAATTTAGGCACCTTACTTTGTATCCAGCTGTTTGAGCTCTCTCTTTATTTGTGATACATGTATTATATTTTATGCATTTCGTTAGGTCATATTGATGGTTGCGAGCGTGTGTGTGTGTGTTTGTGTGTGTGTGTGTGTGTGTGTTTGTGTGTGTGTGTGTGTGTGTGTGTGTT